TGACTTTGGACAAATCATGTGCCCTGCTCTGTGACTCAGTTTCCCCATTGGTAAAATGGGGATAATGATATTGGATTTGGGCTCCAGTGCTGTTGATTCGGCACAATATTCACTAGAACAAACAGAGAGGGTGAAGGAGGGGAGAAGTGATGCCAAGGGGGAATCTTGGTTAGTTTCCCCCCCCCCCGTTAAAAGAAATAACCCAAAGTGGAACTCTGATGTACAGTGCTTGGAGATTACTGATGGAAAGGGCTAGCTGTTCTTATTATCTCCCACTGGTCTGGGAGCAGCCGGCCAATGGCAGCTTCTCGTCACTCCCACCTGAGACTGGATTAGAACCCGTGACTGGGAGGCACAAAGACTTTTATTTTGAGTTCGCTCTCTGCTCCCTAAGAGCCTCTTGCACAAAGGAAAGCGCAGGGCTTAAATTCAGCCGGAGCTGTCCGGAGCCGAGCTCTGGTAAGTTTTTTCAAACATTGACTCCAGGCTGATGCTGTTGCGGTTCTCAACCGGGGGTCTGCGGCCCTCTGGGGACCCACAAGCTGGTTTCAGGGGGTCCGCGGGGCCCTGCGGCTGAAGGCTGGAGTCCCGAACCTGGGTGTGATCTGAAGGGCTGAAGCCCTGAGCCCCAGCATGCCCTGCGGAGAATTGGGGGGGGCATGGTGTGCTCCAGGAAATATTCAATGAGAATTTTAGCTCTCGGACAGAGTAAAAGGTATTGGGGTGGAGGATTAATGGGGAACAGCATCAGCAGGGGCATGACCTTGTGGCCGTGGCAGGCATTGACACCGCAGGCTCTGCCGGGCATCTGTGTGCCCGGAGAGGAGTGTGCTCCAACTGGTGCTGCATGTGCCAGTGAAGGCACTGTTAGAATTAAGCAAGGAGCCACCTCTGTCGACAGTGGAGTGCTGACTGGCAGGGATGGGGGGGCTGCAAGTCACCCCTGTGAGCCTTGATTTCCTGTCCAATCCTTCCAATCTCTCAGTTCCCTGCAGCAATTTTCTGCCCTGCTCACAAATTCCCTTCTTGCAGCGATCAGAGGAGACCGGCAGCTCCATGACAGGGACCATCGCAGGGGTTCCCTCCACGCAGGGAAAGGTCACGGTTGTGAGGGACCCAATCAGGAAAAGGGAAGCAGCGAAGGTACCAAATGCGCCGCTGCACATCTGTGGATTTGATTTCCCTCAGGACCGGAGGTTCCCGCTCACAGTGTCCTCGTCCAGATGAATTTCTACGGCAACATGTTTCCAACCCTCAATGGCGTTAGCTGTAAAAGGTGCCAAGTGGAAAGCAATTGCCACCAATCTGGCAAATGTGTTTCCACACTTGTGCTGTAGGGCCCGAAAAACTTTTTTAAGGCCAGGATTCTTGAGAGGACAACGCTCCGCAGTGCACTGTACTGCATCCACAAACCAATAATGCCCCCTGGTCCCAGCGCCTCACAACCACGGCCTGCAGCAAGCCTGGGCTAACAGGGCAGGGTGCTCCTCCCACCTGGGCACTCGCTGTCCCTAGCCCAATCACCACCTGCCGCCATATAGAGCAGCAAGTCGTGGTTGTTCACGATGCCAGTCATGGGTAGCGCATGACTCCTGCATTTGGGGAGGCTGGAGGTGAGCACTGGACGTTCCCAGAAGCAGGAGGGGCCCCTGGCGCCTGGCCCATGGCCCGCCCCCTGCTCCATCCCAAGGCCCAGCCCCGCTTAGCCCCCTTCCCCGAAGCCCCCCCCACCTGCCGCTTGCGCCTCCTCACCCCCTCCTTCGAGGCCACCTGGCTGTCGTTTCCCAGCAGGCAGGGTTGCCTTGGGGGGAGGGATGGGAGAGGCGCGAGCAGCAGGGCTGGGGGTCCTCGGGGAAAAGGTGGAGCATGGGCAGGACTTCAGGATGGGGGAAGAGGGAAGAGGAGCAGCGTGGGCAGGGCCACGAGGGAAGAGGACGAGCAGGAGCAGGGCCTCGGGGCAGAGCGCAGGTGGGGGTACGGCCCGGCCGCCCTTTCGGCGGCAGCGCTCCAAAGATGGCGGGCTGGTGCTGCATCCTGTTTGGGGAGGCTGAGCCTCCCCTGGCCTCGTATACCCCCGCCCATGACGACAGCGGCTTGGCACTGGCCCGAGGAGGATGAGAATGACTCTCTAACCTGGTGCTCAGGGCGCTGCCCCAGGATGAGGGAAACCCAAATTCACGTCCCGTCTCCAACAGCAGTTTCATTCTCTATGAAAGGTGGGACAGCTTCAAGAGGAGGGAGCGAGCCAGCCCAGGACACAAAGGGCCCATACCCTAAGGCGCTGCCCTGGCACGGGAGGAACACATGTTTGAATCCCTCCATGCCCCCAGGCCGGGAAGGGAATTGGAGCCCAGTCCCACCAGCCTGGCGGCGCGCCCTCACCACAGGTCTGAAGCTTCCAGCAGAAGCTGCTGCTGCCATCTTGTGAATCCTTCAATTGCTGTTGTCCAAGTGGCCAAGGGTCGGAACGAAACATTTGGGTTTGACGCTCCCAACACTAGCAGACTTTTCTGGAGTGGTCGAAAGCCTGCGGCTCATGGTTGTCGAGCGTGCGAATACGTTCAGCTGCCCTGACACTGCACTTTCCAGTGAACGAACCTTTTGTTTGTACATTTCCCCCCCAACCCCACCGCTCTGTTCCTGAGTTCTGTCCTGGCCCGGGAACAGCTGGTGACCATGGTGCCTTGGGCAGCCATGAAACCTTTATGGGTGGAGGGGAGGACTTTTGTCAAAAGACTCTGAGCACCAGGGGCTCTGCTTTATGCCCCCAGCCTGCCCACACGGCACTGTGCCATTGTGCAGCGCAGGGTCCTCAGAGGTACCCAGCCCAGCAGCCCCACAGCGCAAAGGTAACTGTTAATTTAGTGCTCAGCTGATGGTAAACGAGGCCTGGGTTGAATGGTGGAGAGAAGCTTCCCCTGAACAAGCCCTGGCAGGGGCGTGACCCAGCCAGGTGGGACAGGACAAAACTTGTTTTTTTCCATCTGCCCCCATGTCTGGTTGAAGTAAACGTTGACCAATGAGCAAGTGGGCAGCTATGGATGAAGAGGCTGGTCTAGGCAGGCCCTGATCCCTTCCCAGTAGCCCCTTTGCCAGTCCTGCCTTAGAGCAAGGCCAGCTCCCCTCCCTCTTCCTCTCCTCAACCTGCCTGGAGAGTCTCCTATTCATAGATCATAGAGGTTGGAAGGGACCTCACCTAGTCCGACCCCCTGACAGATTTTTGCACCCGATCCCTAAATGGCCCCCTCAAGGATTGAACTCACAACCCTGGGTTTAGCAAGCCAATGCTCAAACCAGTGAGCTATCTCTCCCCCGGTCTCTGCTCCCGCCATGCCGCCTTGTGGCCATTCCCTCTGAACCAGTGGGCCCCGCTGCCTCCACTCCATTAACCCACCCCGCCCCCTACTGAAACATCTTCCGTTCCTCTCCTGAGAGGAAGGAGTCCAGTGTCATAGGTGAGAGACGGTCCGGGGGATCGGAGCTTCTGGGGTCTCCCCCCAGCTCTGCTACACCCCTGCTGTTTGACAGTGAGTAGGTCATGTCCCTTCCTGTGCCTCAGTTTCCCCATCCGTAAACTGGGGATAATGCTATTTTCTCGGTTGTGAGGCTAAAGTCGCTAATGATTTGAGAGTGCTTTGAGGTCCTCGGGTGGAGAACGCTAGAGACAGGCAAAGCACTATCATTAGCTGTTGCGGGGAGCCGGGCTGCCATTCTCCTGGGTTTGGGGTGCACACAGAGCATGTATCTTCTGGCAGTTGGGCATGAAAGGCAGGCCAGCCTCACCCAGCTGAGCGCCTTGCCGGGGTGCGGGGGTGTGGATGTGCGTGTGGTGCAGGAGAGGACAGGCCTGTGGCTCTGCATGGGGTTTGGCACTGGGGGAACAGAGCTAGCAGGCAGCCTGCACCCGTGAAGGGATGGCACACAGGGAACAGGCAGAGGATTCTGGGGAACCTCTCGCTGGAATGCGGAGGCCTCTCAGGCAGCCATGGCTCCCGGGCGGGTCGGGGCGGCTGAGTCTGTCATGCTGCGGAGGAGAGGAAGCGAGAGGAGCTGTGGAGGGAGCGTGCGTTGAGGGACAGAAGCCGCTAGTCCAAGGGAGACGATGCCCAGCAAACTGCCCTGGAGAGGGGACGGCGCTGGCACAGCCCGTGTGGGGCAGGGCGCCGGGGAGGAGCACGCTCTCAACATGTTCACAGCTGCAGACTGCGCTTGCCAGGGAATGCTATTGATACTGAGGGGAGCAGCCCCCTTCCTGCCGCACTGCGACTGCATCCCCAGCTATTTTGGGACCAGGAACCAGGGAGGCGACAGGCACCAGGGTTACAAATGTCGGTGCAATGCTACCCCTTGCTCTTGGTTTGATCATCAGCATTGACGTGATGTGTCACTTACACGAGATGGGATAAAACTACACAAGGGACACAGCCCTCCTGCTTCAGGGTGGAATCTGAAGTGGGGGTCAGGAAGGAACTTCCACCAGGGCTTGGTTATTCCGTCATTTCCCATTATGGCAGATTTTGCAGCTTCCTCGGAAGCAGCTGGTACCAACCACTGCTGGAGACAGGGCATTGGTTCTGATCCGGTTGATCAGTTCAGAGGTCCCTAGGGTGCTGGCCATTCCATGGGAGGACCGAGGACCCGGCCTCCCTGACGGAGGCGTAGAGAGGGCTGCCCCAGGTAGACCTAGCATGAATCCATGCTGGCCCATGCAGATGACTGTGAGAAAGGCACAAAGGCAAGCAGTGAAGGGAGGGAGGCGGCAGGGCTCCTGGGGGAGCGTCACCCCCTGAGACAAAGCTTCTGAACAGGAGTGAATCTCAGCCAAACTACAAGCACCTGGGCAGCAACACAGCTGGGGCTCTCGCTAGGTGTTCGCCTGCACCCAAGCCTGGCTGAGGGTCTGTCCACAGGGCAGAGTTCCCAGCACCCGGACTCACTCAATCACACAGCACTCACGCTCCCTAGCGGTGGAATGAGGAACACAGAAGGGGAGATCTTACCTCGTAAATATAATCAAAGAGCTCTAGTACTGTAAGGATACTAGCACCAATAAACAATCCCATCTGACCGCCAATGTCACCTAGGGGAAAGAAAACAGCTCGTTTTACTCACATGCTGTCAAAGAAACGAGTTCAGGGAATGCGGATGGGTACCCATCAGTTATGTCTTATCTGGGATTTTCTGAGCATCAATCAGAGGCTCTCTCTCCTGGCTAAGAATGAAATCCCCGGAGACACAAAGCCAGAATTTCCACAGCGCTCTCTGTCAAGGTTTCCCCTGAGGCTGACATGACAGTGACGTGATATTGCATGTAGCACTCACAGCGCGAGAACGGCTTCTTGCTCCAGTCAGCAGGTGCTGAGAGGAGAAAAAAGCTACATTTGCTAGAAAAACTCCACAACACACTAGTGATCCAACGTGACAAAGGATCAGGGGCATTGTGTCCCGCAGGGGAGCCCATCGGGTTTCAAACCTTCGCCTGCTAGTTGCCGGGGACGAGGGAAGGAAAGAAAAGATGGAACGACTCCCCAGATAGGAAGTGGTTTCCAGTGACTTGTCAACGGGGCTGCACAGTTTGTTTTACAGCGCAGGTAGGGACGGCTGGGGTAGAGCATGGGGAAATATTACAACACTTGACATTGACTGGAGGGGAAGGCTAAAGGCAAAATGCTCCTAAACAAACAAGACTCCGGTCTGAGCAACTGAACCTCTCCTGCCACACGTTAAAGGGGGTGTGGTGCAGGCTGACAGACCTGCAGGTGGAAATCTTGTGTCCTTACAAGCGACGGTCACGCTGCCTCCTACCCCTGCCCTGGGAATGTCACCGTCTAGGGGTGGAATGCAGTCCCCTGTAGCCCACTTTCTTTCTAGATCTCAAGTTACAGGAGTGCTCACTACCGATATATAGGTAAATAGCTATGGTGCCAGCAGATGGCGCTCCAGAACAGGGCCTGTGTTTTGTAGACCCTGCTGTTGTGCATCGTAAATGGTTTTCTCTAGCAGCGCTTTACAAGCCCTGGTTTTTCAGGTTCTTTTGCACAATGGCTAGCAAAGGGGACGATTGCACTGCGGGTACCTGAGCACGGAGACCTCGACTGACAACACTAACTCATGTCATATAGGCCACTGCAACAGGCTGCCTTGGCCCCTAGAAACAAAGGGCTTTGTAGCCTACTGCCTCACCCAGCCCTGAAGCTGCATGAATCCTGTCAAGAACAGAGCCCTGCTGTTCCAGAAAGCCCCACAGCATCTCTCTCTGCCCGCCTGCCCTTACCAGCCGCCAAGCCTTGCGTGGATCCAGCAGCAGAACTCAGTGACAACAGCCCGCATGAATATCTCATCAACGAATGCATCAATCTGTCAACGGACCCTTATTAGCATCCAGCCTGAGTCACTTTCCAGGCTGCAGGGTCGGTAGGTTCTAGTCATTTACTTAGAAGACATGGAGAGAGACGGTAACAGCAGAGGAAAGGGCTTAAGGATCTGCAATCCTCCCAAAGACTAGAGGCCACGCTGAGCTGAGCCCGGTGCAAGCATTTCCACAGCTGAGGCACTGGAGGGACAGAGGGTGCCTGGGGCGTTTCCGGGAGTGCCACCCTCTGGGTTTGTCCAGTCACCCAAGGCCAAGTTGTGGGAAAAGAGCAAAACAGTCCCATTGTGCTTCTACTAAAGCAAAGACGCCAACTCACCTCTGCTCTTGCAGGTCCATTTTTGTTTGACTTCTTTTTCCTTTGCAAATGGAGGAGGTTTCCCTACTGGACTCCCACTGTTTTCCCCCAGGCCACCAGTGAACGATGTCCCTAACCAGGTTGGGCATTTCTGGCATTGCATCACACAGCCTGATTGGAACCAGCCCAGAGTAACTCTGCATGGGACTAACCATGGCATCCGCTCTTGTCTGGATGCTACAATGGGCAGAGATGCAAGAGATGTGGGTTTTAAATACGGCCACAGACTTGCAAGATCTCAGGCAAGACTCTGAGCTCAGTTTGCCTGTCGCCAAAATGGGGGCAGTGAGATTTCCATGACTCACGTCCCAGAGCACTGGGAGGGCTAAGTACATGGTGTTACACGTGTGCTACATGTGCTCTGAGCTCTCGCCATCCGGCCAGGAGGCCGCTAGGCCTATAATATCGCAGCCCAGCGCCCAACGGCACATTCTGAGAACATGCCAATATTCACAAGGGCGCCTTTTCCTCCCAAAGGGCTTTGGGCAGGTTCAGTCCTCCCAAACGTGGCAAAAAATGGAAGTGCACCTGGGTGCAAAGTCAGAAATGTTCACACTAATTTCCATGAAAAAGATTTTCACCAATTTCTCCCAACCCTTTCCCCCAGCTGAGGAAAGATGGTCTAGTGGTTAGGGGAGTAGCCTGGGACTTAAGAACCCGGTGTTCAGCTCCCTGCTCTGCAACAGTCTGCCTGTGTAACCTGGGGCATGTCACTTAGTCTCTCTGTGGTGCAGTTCCCCAGCACTGCCCAGCCTCACTGGGGTGCTGGAGGCTAAAGAATGTGAGGTGCTCAGCTATCTCAGTGAGGGGGACTAGAGACGGGCATTAGCCAATCAGATCAGTGCTTGTGTCTCTGCAGAGTGCCCAAAATAACAGAAACCATATTAACCGCTAGCTTGGTAAGCGAAGGTGAGGGCCCAGCAGCTGTCAGCGGCTGGAAGCACAATTAGCTAAAGCAGCCAACAAAGGCAGGTGTGATCAGCACATGCAGTTCTGCCCCCATGTGCAATCTCCCTTGCTTTGTTTTCTACTCTAGCAGCCAGGCGGGGAAGGGGAGGGGGTGCAGATCGAGTAGTTTGCAGTTGGACCGGAGTGGGTGAGACCAGTGTCCAATTGTTAACATTATGCGAATGAGCGTTACCCAGATTTCGCTTCATCTTGACAGCGAATGGCTTGATAGTTACGGCTATCATCTTCCTGGCTTTCAAAGCAATGTGTTCTGTCACTTAAGGGAGTGTCCTGGTTCACCTCCTGCTGTATGAACATCAAAGCTAGCCCAAACAAGCCTCCCTCAAAGCCGCAAACTGATTGTTTTCCCGGTAAGTTACACTGGGAAAACAATGTTTCCCAGCAGTTGCAGTCACAGGCAGAGAGACCAATATGCTTAGCAATAGATAGCTCTTGTGCAAGAACATTGGGTCACGGCGAGCCACTGATACGGGCTCCTTTCCTGTAGTTCTTCCATTGCCGGTACCCAGGAGAGATTCATCCACTAAGTAGGAGGCGAAGTGGATAACTGATTAATCATCTTCCCCATTACTGTATTTGCTGGAATACACAGGAAGCAAAGGGATGCAGCTGGAGGTAATTTGACTGTATGTTCCCAATCTGTCATTCAGCTGCAGGAGTAAAGCATCCGTGAACAGAACATGCTGTATTAGTTTAGTAGAGAAACAACATCTATAATATCGCAGCCCAGTGCCCAACGGCACGTTCTGACAGCATTGCTGTTGCAGGGCAATACAGGGTGTTGGAAATGCTGCCTCCCTGCCCCTGCTGGTTCTTCCCATCCTCTTGCCCTATGGCCTTCTCCGCCTCCCGCTCTGGAGCTGGGCCCACCCATCCCAGAGTCCTAGAATCTACTCCCCACACCCCTAAAGCCAGCTGCCCGCCGATCTAATCATAGAATATCAGGGTTGGAAGGGACCTCAGGAGGTATCTAGTCCAACCCCCTGCTCAAAGCAGGACCAATCCCCAACTAAATCATGCCAGCCAGGGCTTTGTCAAGCCTGACCTTAAAAACCTCTAAGGAAGGACCACTTGGTTCCTGGCCAGGTACCTCTCAGCTCGCGGCTGCTCCAAGGAGACGGAGGGGGCAGGAATAAAATCAATTTCACCCTAGCTGACGCTCATGGCTCTGACAAAGCTCTGGGGGAAGGAATCATTCGAACACTCGTTTGAGAATGATTCTTGTAACGTCTCCTCAGTTCCTCACTATCGCTCCTGGCTCTGGTGTCCTGCCCGTTGGGTGACTTGCTGGGAGAACCTCAGGCCTGTCTATTCTCTTCGGAGTATCTCTTGAACCCCAGGGGCGCTGACTTGGCCACAGGAGTAGCCAATGACTGGGGAGGCCATATGGGCTCTGCATTCATGACAGGAGGCACTTCAGTCGTCCCTCCAGTAGGCTTCCTGCTTACATCCGTCTGGGAGCTGACGAGACAACATAGGCTCATGCATTCCCACTGTTCATAAAACCATTCCTGTGATTTCATCACAAGTCCTGGGATATCAGGGCTTCTTTGAAATAATTCCCCTGAATTTCTGATTTCTGCCTCTGAGCTTGTGAAGTTTTGCCCTTTTTCCAAAATGGTCGCCCTCCCCATCACTGTCAGTGGAGCTGAAGCTGACGCCCAGACCATCCTTTTATTGTCTATGTGCTCCCTACTTCTGTTTGCATTGCCAGGACTCTACTTCTGATCCACTTCCCTAGACCTGGAGATGTCATGGGAAAGGCCGCTGTTTACCTTGTGTAGTAACTGGAGTTCTTCCAGAGGCATGGTCCCTGCATGCATTCCACTCGAGGTGCGCATGTGCTCCATGCGTTTGAGACCATAAGATTTTCACTAGCAGTGTGTTAGTCCGCGTTGGCGCCCTTCTCCTTGTGCTCTGATCCATAGATATAAGAGGCCGTGCGGACTGACCATCTCTCCAGTTCCTTCTCTACTGCAAACCAGTAAGGATCAGCCACAGAGGGGAAGGAGGGCAGGAAGTGGAGCACCTATGGGGACCACACATCTCAAAGAACTCCAGTTACTCTAAAAGGTAAGTAACCTTGCTTTCTTCTTTGAGCGACGGTCCCTATGTGTATGTGACTTGAGGTGACTCACAAGCAGCGTTCACTGAGGAGGCGGCGGTGAGGACCTTGGCTGTATCACAGACTGGAGGACTGCTCTGCTGAAGGACGTGTCCGCTGCACAAACTTGCAAAAGTATTGACAGAGCCTCACGTTGCCTCTCTGCAAATCAGAAGAGGGGCATCCGGAAGAGAGGCTACTTCTCTCTTAATTCATGGTGGTTAAGTCCATTAATGGCTACTAGCCAGGACGGGTAAGGAATGGTGTCCCTAGCCTCTG